AGGCCCTTTCACTTCCTCTGCCAGACACTGCTGGTTACAACCCCCTCATGTCCCACTCCAGTCAGTTCCCACCCCACAGCCACACCAGATCCCTGAGGCTGAGGCCTTGGGAGAGGGTGCGGGCATCTGTTCAGGCCCAGGCGGGAGGAGGAGAGGGGCTGTAGCCCTCGCAGGACTCACACTCGCTTCCGCTGCACCAACTCCACGTAGTCCTCGGAGCGTGCGTAGTACTCATCGGGGCTCAGGGCTCCCCAGAAGTTGGACCACAGCTTCCCGTGGCGGGACAGCATGGGTGCTATGACCTTCCTATGAACAGGCAGAGGTGAGGACTGCGCAGAGGAGAGTCCCATGCCCAAGGAAGGAGCTGGGGGCTCCCGGGGGACCACTTGGGGGCCCTTTGGCTGAGCCAGAAAAGCAACCTGTTCTCCTCAATGAGAATGCGCAGAGCCTGCTGGTTGGTAATGACGGCATCAGCGTCCAGGCTGAAGTAGAATTCACACTCAGGGTCCTGCCGACAGCTGTCCCTGGTGGGGAAAGACCAACAGAAAAAGGAACTGAAATTGAAGCAGATGGGGGGAGACAGGGACTGTAGAGTGAGTGGAACTCCCCCTCCCTGGGACTTCTAGGTTGTCTCGTCTGTGAGAGGGGCATGCAGGGTGCGCAGCACTGTGGAGGCCATGGAAAAGCCGGATGGTGGATGGACAGGGAAGGGTGGTGCAGCGGGTGGCAGCCTCACCGCCTCCCACCCCTGTCCCCTCCACCAGCCTCCTTGCCCAGGTCTCACTCACATGGCCATGTCCCTGGCCTCGCCTGGGGTCAGGGCCTCCTCTGGCCCCACCAGCTTCACAGCTGAGAAGTGGTCCTGGAGCTGCGGCCAGGAGTCTGCAATGTGGGGCTCGTGGTATACCTCCTGGAGATGGGAAGTACCGGGAGAGGGTGCTGAGAGGGCAGAAAAGTTGACACCAGAGGGCTGGGCTGAATAGGAAAGGTGGTGAGTGAACAGGGTGTAGGGAGCGATCTGGAGAGCAGGGAGCAGGAACTCCATCAGGGAAGTCCCTTGGGAGGGACCACATGGAGAGGCTGCCAGGGTGTCTTACGTTGTTATGCAGGAAAAGGGTGATCCTGTCAGGGGGATAGTCCAGGAGCATCAGCCGTTGCAGGAAGCGGGGCAGGAATGGGGTAGGTTGTTCTACAAACACAGCCAGAAGCACCCGGGGGGGAGGCTGGAAGATACATGACAGGGCTCAGAGGAAAGCCCAGAACCCTCACCTGGTCTGTCTTCTACAACCCAGCCAGACCTGAGGGTTCCGGAGCTCTGCCCCCCTCCCATTGCTGTCCAGCATGCTCTCCCTGCATCCCCTGCTTCAGTGTGCTCTCCTGCCCTGCCCCTCCTCACCTGCCCCCCCGGGAGTGTCCTCCGGTCCCGGTCACAGAACCCACAGCCTCCCCCAGGAGTCCAGCCATTGGGGACATAGTTTCCCAGGTAATTCAGCTGGAGCTGTTGGGAGAGACAGAAAGAGAGGCTGAGGCAGAGGAGTCCAGGACCAGACATGAGTTAGGTCAGGTAGATAGACAGGAACAAGGAAGTAGGGGGAGCAGTGGGCACTTAGAACCTCTCCTGGCACCTCTGCTGCTGGGGTTGGGGAGGACCAACTGCTCAGAAGGGTTGGAGGTACATAGGGGCTGGGACTAGGTCTGGGGCAGAGACAGAGGTTGCAGAGCCAAGCCTGGCACAGGGATAAGGGGCTGGGACCAGGTATGGGACAAGGATTGGAGCCAGGTCGACTAGGGCAGAGGCCGGGGCTGAGGGTGTTAGTCATGGGGGCACCTTAGTGGGACCGTTTCCATGCACCACAACAGGAAGCGTGTCATAGGCCACATTCCGTATACGCACACGATTCCGATCAAACTTTAAAACCACCTCATCTGGGGAAGAAAGATCAGGATTTAGACTCCCTTTCTCTGGAAGCTGCTGAGCAGCAGGTGCTTCTAAATATGGGGGAATCCAGCTTCTCTGATACCTCCCTGGGGAGCTCCTCCACTTACTACTGGTGTGACCTGGGCAAGTCACCTGCCCCTCAGAGAGGCAGTTTCCTCATCTGTAAGAGGTAGAGAACCACAGACCCCAGCTCCCCTTTGTAGGATTGTTGTGTTAATGAAATGACAGACATAAAGCCTTTGGCCCAGGGCCTTGACACATGGTATGTCCCACAGATGTTAGGTATGACGGCCACTGCTTTTACTACTGTTAGCACCATGCAACTTTATCTCTCAGCCATTCAGATGTTAAAGTTAATGTAAAGGTGAGTTGAAGATCACCCGAGGAGCCCCTCCACCAGGAGCCCCTCCCTAATTCAGGACCCCAGCAGCCTCTCTTATCTCCCCTTCTGACCGCCTTTCTCCTCACCTAAAGCCCCATTGAGGTTCTGAAAGATCCGAGATTTATGATCCAGATTAAGGCTGAGTTTCTCCTGGATGAGATAAAATGGGGCAGTTAATTCAAGAAGGGGTAGGACATCATTTCTCACTTCTTTCTCTTTACATCTTCCCCCAAACCCCTTTATCCCTCTCTCCCATTCAGCTTGAGGTCTGCCACCCCATAGGGCTGCAAGTGTTGCCCCTCTTCTGTCCCTCCCTACCCTCAGTCCGGGGTCTAGGTAGAGTCGAGTGTAGAATAGCTGATCATCATCATCATCCTTGTACTTCCACTGGCGGACAATTTGGTGGATGGTGGGGGCAAAGCCAATGAATCCTGTGGGGGGAGGGGAAGTGCTGACTCCAAGACGCCCTTGGTGCCATGAACCTGTCCTCACTCCCTCTCTGGCTCCTAAGGCACCTGGAACACTCCAAACCCCACACTCGCAGTCCCTCTGCTTCGGGCACTCTGCCACTCACCACCAGAGTTGAGGAAGCGCTTCCCTGTGCCCACCTCAGGGTACTGCTCTGCCAGCCCCCACTCAGGCCAGCAGAAGCTCTCGGCAGAGAACAGCAGGCGGCTGCCACTCTGAACGAACTTCTTCAGCAGCTCTGAGGGGCTGCCAGCCAAAATCACATCATAGCTGGCAAGGAAGGGCAGGATGAACAGACAGCCACTACGAATCTCAGTATCCTCACCTCCTTCTTGTTTGCCCCACCCATTTCTCCCCATCCCCGGCTCCTTTACCTGTCCACAAACATGATGACCATATCCTCCTGGTCTGCATATTTCTCCATTTCCTTCTTTAGCCACCTGACTTTCTGTCCTCCACCAACGGTTCGGGCCACATCACCCCCTCGCCACTCCTCTCCCAGGCCCAGAGTCTGTGGGCGAGATCCGTCATGCCAGGGAAGGATTCAGCTGGCCAGGCTCACCGTGGGGCCCCAGGCATCCAGCCCCTAGCCCACTCCTCCAGCTGGAAGCCACCCACCCCTACCTCGTAGCGCCCAGGAGGGCATTCCTCTCCTCACCCGCACTGTGTAGTTGAAGAACTCCGCTGATTGCAGGAAACGCTGGTATCCCTCTGTCTCGGCTGTGGCCACGGTGATCACCAGCAACTTCTCTGTCACCAGTCGGGAATTGGCAGTCGGGACCTACTCATGCAGTTCACTGCCTCACGTGCTCCACTCACCTCCCTCAGACTCTGCTAGTATTCCTTCTTTTTTCCCCATTCCCTCTTAAAATCTTCCCCCCGAAAAACTACGACCCCAGTGGGAGCTATGGGAGTGACACCCAGGATTTCGGGGTCAGTTAGCACAGGGAGGATGGAAACCTTAGCTCAGAGTCGGGAGCGAGTGGTTCCGTCCCAAGAAGCACGCTGGGCCGGGGAGAAACCGACTCCCCTCCACCCCCAACTTTCCCCGAGCCCCAGCCGGCAGACATTTCAGCCCGGAGCTCACGGGGCTCTCTGGGTTTTTCACCTGGGTTGACAGGGTGGCCGCTCCGGGCACGGTCGGAAGCCGAGGCCGCCGCCGCGGCCGCAGGAGGCGGCGGCAGCAGCAGGAACAGCAGTAGCAGCAGCAGCAGCAGGAGCAGGAGTCCCGGGCCCCAGGCGGCCATCGCGTGGAGCTGGCCCAGACGGCACACAGGCCGGCACCGGGCTCCGGCTGCGTTCCTCGGTCCCAACTGCAGAGCGGGGCGACTCTAGAAAGGCGACCGGGGCTGAGGAAGAGCAGGGCCGGGGCTCCGCCCTGGAAAAAAAGACGTAGCCAGAGGCTACAGAAACTCTAGATGCTGGCTCCCCAGACAAGGCGAGGATTGTCTCTGGACGCGGGCGCGCGGAGTGCGCGGAGCGGGCGGAAGGGCCTCTGGGCCGCGAGGCGAAAGAGGGGCGGGGGCTCGAGCGAGTGAACCCAAGCTGAGGACTTTGGTCAGAGACAGCCCACCCCACCGCTAACCAAACACTTGAGGAAACTGAAACCCCGAGAAGGGAAGTGACTACTTGCAGGGCCCGCGAGACGCGGAGGCGGGTCTCCGCCACAGCCCTGCCCCGGCGGCGGCGGCGGCGGCGGCGGCGGGGCAGAAGGCTGGAGAGCGAGGCTGTGAGGGCGCGCAGAGCGGGGACGAGTCGGGGAGCGAGCGGAAGGGAGGGAGAAAGCCGAGGAGTGTGAAGCTCCAGGGGATCTAGGGGTTGAAATATCTGCAGAGCGTCATCAGTGACCTCTCGGATTGCCCACTCAAACTTTCCCACAGTCTTTGGGAGTCCCTTCAGTCATCCTTACTGCCTGGGGAGAAGCTCCAGGGGTTGCCTTTGTGATAATGGCATCAAAGGACTAAAGGAACAGGATGTTTCCCGAAAGACGGCTGGCACATCTTTAAAATGATCCATTTCAGGGCTCCCCCAAAATACAAAACTACACTGAAGCCGGAAGTGCTTTTGCCCCTATAAAATATGGCAGAAAGCTTGCTCGTCTCCAAGGGAACGCACGTAATTAATCTAAGCATTGGAATTACCGTGCGCGCGCGCGTGCCAAAGCACACGCCGCCGGAAGTTACGGAATCGTTACCTAAACGGACGGTTTAGCAAGCGTGCGCAGTAGGCTCTTCCGTCAGCTGTATTGTGGAAATGGTGGAGAAGAAAGCTTCGGGTATGTGAGCACCTCTGGGGTTGGCTCCCTGCTTCCTCTCAAATCCGAACCTAGCCTAAGATATCCTCACCCAGTTATTAGTCTCAAATTCCTTCCCCGGCCCTCGGGTCCTACCATCCGGGCAGCTCCCAAACCATTCATTTACGTTTTATTGATGCCTGCTCAAAGCCGGCGCTGGAGATGGAGAAAGGAAAAAGATCTTTATCTTCCTGGAAATGGCTGTTGCGGGGGCCGGGGGGCGGGCAGACATGCAGACCTACTATGGCATTTCATACGCGCCATGGCAGAGGGATGCACAGCGCCTGGAAAGGAGGGGGCCGTGAAGGCTTGGAAGGGAAGATAACGCTTGAGTCTTTAAAGTCGAGTTAGGTTTCTCTGGATGTAAGTGCGCAGGGACTCATTCTAAGCTGCGGAAACTGCACTTTCAAAGACAAGAAAGCAAGAAAAAGCGAGGCATTTAGGAAGCCCAGTTCACAGTTCGAGGCTTGCGGAAGAATAATAGTAAGAGAGGCTGGAGGACTAGGGGAAGACACACTTGAAAAGCATTAAATGCACTGCCGAAAAATTTGAATTCTGAGAGCGGTAGAGACCCATCAAGGGCTTTTAAGCCAGGGGAGTGACCGAAACAAATTTATCTTTTAGAAAGTCATTTCTAGCTTCAGTGAAGAGGATGGATTAGAGGGACTACAGCTGCACTGTCTAGTAGTACTTACGGGATGACGAGAATGTTCTTAATCCGCACTGCTCATCATGGCAGCCATTAGCTACATGTGGCTATTGAGCCCTTGAAATGTGGCTGGTGCAATCGTGGAACTGAATTTTAAATTTTATTTCATCTTAATCTACATCTAAATTTATTTTTTAAAATCTATTGATTATGCTATTACAGTTGTCCCAGTTTTTCGCCCTTTGCCCCCCTGCACCTGGTACCCCGATTCCCTCCAGCAATCCCTCCCCCCCTTAGTTCATGTCTATGGGTCATGCATATAAGTTCTTTGGCTATTCCATTACCTATACTGTTCTTAACATCTGCCTGTCTATTTTATATCTACCATTTTGTGGTTCTTAATCCCTGCACTCCCCCTTCTCCTGCTTCCTCCTCCCAACTGACAATCCTCCAAATGATCTCCATTTCTAAGCTTGTTTGCTTAGTTTGTTATTTGGATTCAGTTATGGATAGTTGTGAATTTATTGCCATTTTAATGTTCATCATTTTGATCTCCTTTTTTTCTTATATAATTCCCGTTAGCATTTCACATAATAATGGCTTTGTGATGATAAACTCTTTTAGTTTTACCATGTCTGGGAAGTGCTCTATCTGCCCTTCGATACTAAAGACTGCTGGATACAATAATCTAGGTTGTAGGTCCTTGCTTTTCGTCACTTTGAATACTTTTTGCCAGTCCCTTCTTGCCTGCAAGGTTTCTTTTGTGGAATCAGCTGACAGTCTGTGGGATCTTCTTTGTAGGTAACTCTCTTTTGCCTTTCCCTTGCTGCTTTTCATGTTCTCTCTTTATCTTTAACCTTTGGCATTTTAGTTATGATGTACCTTGGTGTGGGCCCGTTTGCGTCCGTTTTCTTTGGGACTCTGTGCATCCTGGACTTGCATGTCTACTTCCTTCACCAAAATTAGAGCAGTTTTCTTTCATTGTTTTTTCAAATAAGTTTCCAGTTTCTTGCTCTCCCTCTTCTCCTTCTGGCACCCCTATGATTCAGATTGCTGGTATGTTTAAAGATGTCCCAGAGGTTCCAAAGTCTGTCCTCATTTTTTTTGAATTCTCTCTTCTTCCTACTGTCCTAATTGAATGCATTTTCCTTGTGTTCCAAATCGTTAATTTGATTCTCTGCTTCATCCGCTCCATTGGTGATTCCCTGTAGATTCTTCTTTATCTCATTAAATGCAACCTTCATTTTTGCTTAGGTCTTTTTTATGCTGTTGAGGTACTCAGTGAGTTCCTGGAGCATCCTGATAATCAATGTTTTGAATTCTGCATCTGATAGGTTGCTTATCTCCATTTCATTTAGTTCTTTTTCTGGAGTTTTGTTCTGTTCTTTCACTTGGGCCGTATTTCTTGGTCGCATTTTGGCAGCCTCCCTGTGTTTGTTTCTGTGTATTACATAGACCTGCTTTGACTCCGTGTCTTAGTAGTGTGACGTATTGTAGAAAAGTGCACTTGTTAAGTTGAATGGGGCAGAGCAACCCATGTCATTGCTCTGTGGCTCTGTGTGGAGGAGGGCTCGGAAAGGGGACCATGCCGCTGCCTGGCCTCTTGCATTTTGCCCAGGAGGAAGCTGTCTCCTCTTGCCCTGTTGCCAGTCACTTCACTCCCTCCCCATATGCCACTGGTGCCCTTCCAGCTGTTGCCCTGGTGCTGAATCCCAGAGAGGGTGGGTCTGAGTGGGTCCCTCTCAGACTGAGTGGTTCCTACTCAGACTGAGTCCCTCTCAGACTGAGTGGGTCTGAGTGGGTCTGAGAGGGTGGGTCCGTTACAAGCCCTTTATGAGGAGTCTCTTGAGAATCCCACACTTTCTTTTGGCGCCCTAAGCCCAACTGGTTTTTACAGCCAGGAGTTACGGAGACTTATTTCCTAGCACTGAAACCCTAGTTGGGTGATCCGGTCTGGGGCTGGGATCCCTCACTCCCAAGGTACGCCTCCTGATATTTATCCACCACACATGGATGTGGGACCACCAATTCCTGTCTCCACTTCTCTCCATGCCTTTCCACCTTTCCATGTCTCTCTGCGTCTCTCTGCTGTCTCCCTACCTCCGCCCCTCCTACCCATCTGGATGAATGTGGCTTCTTTAAATCCTTGGTTGTCAGACTTCCACGCAGCTAGATTTTCTGACAATTCTGGGTGATATTTGTTTTGTAGTCAAGTAGTATTTTTTGCTATAGTTGTTCAAGGAGGCGAGGCGTATTTACCTATACCTCCATCTTGACCAGCAGTCTACATCTAGATTTAAATAAGCACAGGTGGATAGTGGTTACTCTATTATATAGCACAGGTCTAGAGGCTGGAAGTCCAGTTAGGAAGCTATTGAATAGTCCAAATTAAAAAAAGATGAGGGTTGGAACACCTCCAGATGGACTTGTAATAATCTCAGTCACGTCACTCATTTCTTAAATCCTGTCACTGGATTTCTACCACCCTCACCGTAAAATCCCCAAATCTAAATTCCTATAGACACTTAAAAGAAATAAATTTTAATGGTCTGCCTGACTTCATACCCCACCCCCCATACACACATACTTTATATACCAGCCATACAGAACTTCTTTTAATTCATTGAAGGCACTGCAGTCTCCCATCCAGTCCTCCTCTCATTCTGGTACCAAAGTCTGAGACACTCTCCCCTTACCTCCAACCAGGTTAACTTTAATTAGTCCAGCCTCAACCTAGACTGACTTTCCTCTGGAAAGTCTTTTTGATTACCCCAAGGCCAAGCTAGATGTTTCTGTCATGCTCTGTAGCAGTATGTACTTCCCTATATTAACATATATTATGATTTACCATTCTTTTTTTCTTTTTGGAGTTTATTTTTTAAATATATATTTTATTGATTATGCTAATACAGTTGTCCCATTCTTTTTCTCCCCTTTATTCCCCTCCACCCTTCATCCTCCCTCCCACCAGCATCCCTGCTTCTCTCCTCCACTTAGTTCATGTCTTTGGGTCATACATGTAAGTCCTTGGCTTCTCCATTTCCTATACTATTCTCATCCTCCCCCTGTCTATTTTGTACCTACTATTTATGCTTCTTATTCCCTGTACCTTTTCCCCCATTCACCCTCCTCCCCCTCCACTCTGATCTCCATTTCTATGATTCTCTTCCTGTTCCAATTGTTGGCTTAGTATGTTTTTGTTTTTGTTTTTATTAGGTTCAGTTGTTGATCTTTGTGTGTTTGTTGTCATTTTACTGTTCATAGTTCTTGATATATTTCTTTTTCATAGATAAGGCCCTTTAACATTTTATATGATAAGGGCTCAGTGATGTTAAACTCCTTTAACTTGATCTTATCTGGGAAGTACTTTATCTGTCCTTCCATTCTAAGTGATAGCTTTGTTGAATAGAGTAATCTTGGATGTAAGTCCTTGTCTTTCAAGACTTTGAAAACCTCTTGCCGGCCCCTTCCTGCCTGCAAGGTTTCTTTTGAGAAATCAGCTGCTAGTTTTATGGGAACTCCTTTGTAGGTAACTGTCTCCTTTTCTCTTGCTGCTTTTAAGATTCTCTCCTTATCTTTAATCTTGGATAATATAATTATGATATGCCTTGGTGTGTACTTCCTTGGGACTCTGAGCTTCCTAGAGTTCCTGGAAGTCAATTTCCTTCACCAGATTGGGGAAGTTCTTATTTTTTCAAATAAGTTTTCAATTTCTTGCTCTTCCTCTTCTCCTTCTGGCACCCCTATGATTCAGATGTCAGAATGTTTAAAGTTGTCCCAGAGGTTCCTAAGCCTCTCCTCATTTTTTTGAATTCTTGTTTCTTCATTCTGTTCTGGTCGAATGTTTATCTTCCTTCTGCTCCAAATTGTTGATTTGAGTCCCAGTTTCCTTACCTTTATTGTTGGTTCCCTGTATAATTTTCTTTATTTTACTTTGCATAGCCTTCATTTTTTCCTCCATTTTGCGACCATACTCAACTATTTCTGTGAGCATCCTGATTACCAGTGTTTTGAACTTTGCATCTGATAGGTTGGCTATCTGTTCATCCCCTAGTTCTATTTTTGGAGCTTTGATCTGTTCTTTTATCTGGGCCATGTTTCTTTGTTTCAGCGCACCTGTTACATTGGAAGGGGCGGAGCCTTAGGAATTTGCCAGGGCTGGGCAACCCAGGTCACTGTGACGCTGTATGTAGGGGAGGGGTCAGAGGGAACAATGCTGCTTGCTGGACTCTCAGTTCCCCTTCTACCCACAAGCAAATTGGGCCCTTCTAGTGCTGATCCATGGGTGGGTTGGTTTGTATACTTTCTAGGACCCTGTGCATGTCTCCAATGGATCCTCCTGTGAGGCTGGGAGTTTTTCCCGCTGCCACATCCCCCACAGGTTTTTATGTCCAGAGGTTTTGAGGCTTGCTTTTCCCACACTGGAACCCTGGATCACTTAGTCTGTCTCCCTCCCCAGCTGTTCCTCCCGGTTTATCTGCACACAACTGCGGGACCGCCAGCTGCCGTCTTGCCCACCCGGTCCTCTGGCCCCACCTTGCTGCACATCCTCTTCACCCCTCTTACCAGTCTGGATGAATGTTTTTTCTTTAACTCCTTGGTTGTTGGACTTCCATATAGTTCAGTTTTCTAGCAGGTCTGGTTATTTTTTGTTTTTAAATTTGCTGTTGTCTTTCTTTTGGTTTTGCAAGGAGGTAAGATGTATAAACCTACGCCTCTGTCTTGGCTGGAACTGATTTACCGTTCTTGTTTGATCATTTGTATTCCCTGCTAGCCTGTAGGCTTTGGTTGTATACTAAGAGCCTAGGGTACAACCTGGCATTTGGAAGGGAGGCAATATAATGTAGTTCCACCCAGCATGAGCTACAAAGCAATCTGTGGATGGCTGCTACTTGTGCTGGGCTTGGAGGTCCAGGCAAAGCAAAACTGTGATCCCAAACTGGCTGCTGTTAGTGCTGGACCTGGCACTGCTTAGCCAAAGGTAAGGGGGTTGGGGGCTCACTGAAGCTTGCTGTTGCTTATTTGAGAGGATTTAGGAAGTTGTGAAGCCTGAGCCAAGTCCAGCTATTCATGTGGAAAGCCACTGTTAACAGCTTGGGTGAGGAGCCTCTGGGATTCCCCAGCACAGAGCAAAGTGTGTGAGCCAGGTTGATGGAGTCTCAGATTTGGTCCTACCTGCCAGCTCTGTGGCTTCATACGGGGAGGGCTGAGAAAAGGAACAACGGCTCTGCCCACCCTTCTGTCTGGGAGAAAGCTGATCTCCAGCTGTCACCCCGACACCAGACACTCCAGCATGCCACTGGTGCCCCCCAAGCTGCCACCCTGGTGGTGGTGCTCAGATGGGGTGAGTTTGAGTAAGTCTGTATGCGGACCCTTTAAGATGCACTGCTTGGGACTCGAGTAGTTCCTTTTTTCTGAATTAAACCCACTGATTTTTACAGCCATAAGTTATGGGGGCTTTTCTTCCTGGCACTGGAACCCTGGGCTGGGGGGCCTGGTGTGGGGCTGGAACCCCTCATCCCTGAGATATCCCTCCCTAATTTTTATCCACTGCCTGTGGATGTGGGCCAGCCCACTCTATGTATCCGTGTCTCCTACCAGTCTGGATGGATGTGGTTTCTTTAGTTCCATAGTTGTCGGACTTCCATTCAACTTGATTTCTGGTGGTTCATGGCGATTATTCTATATTTTAGTTGTAATTTTGATGATGGTTGTGCGAGGAGGCGAGGCATGTTTACCTATGCCTCCATCTTGACTGGAAGTCCTCATGAGTATGTTTTTTGATGCTTGGCAGTTCGGGGTTGAATTCTGACCCAGCCATATGCTAGCTGCAAAATTCATCAACCTGGAGATGATAATGATACCTGTTCCATAGAGTTGTTGAAGGGTTAAAGGATTCCATTTATGCAGGGCTTACTATATAGTACCTGCCCAGTAAGTGTTAGCAACTGGAACTGATGCTATTATTATGGGTATAGGCACTCAATAAATATTTGTTTAATGAATAAAGAGATAACGTGTAGAATTATTAGGACCTAGTGAAGAGTTGATATGGTAATGAAGAAAGAGGTTTAAAATATGTCCTAGGTTTCTGGTTTGAATATCTGTGTAGATGGTTCTAAAGAAAGCCTACAGGAGGGGAATCAGACTTGGCTGGGAAGACTTTTAATTTTGAGTTGCAGCATCCATGGGATCAGCAGGTGATTTCCTGCAGCCAGTTGAATAGTCAGTTTTGGAGCTCAAGAAAAAGTTCTGGATGGAGAGAATCACTTTTAGACTCATTTGCTTGTGGAGGAGAGAGCCCTGTGTTTGGATTAGAAATATCAGGAAGGGTTTATAGACTGAGAAAGAGAACAGGGATAGCCATCCCCTTAGAGGGAGAGAGAGAAGGCAAGGTTAGAAACAGCCATAGCCAGAGATGGGGAAGGAACACCTAGAGCCATGTCAAAGAAGCAGACGAAGGGACTCTTTCAACCTGAGTGAGATGGTCAACACAGTCTCAGAGTGTTGAGAATTCAAGTAAAATGCACCCTGGGCTTGGCTCAAGGAGGTCACCAGCGTTCTGAGTGTGAGCGGTTACTATCAAAAACCAGCCAGTTACTGCAGGTTGAGAGATGGACAGGAGATGAGGAAGTGAAACATCATAGGGACCGCTCTGTCAAAGAAGAATAGATATGAAGTTGGGCAGACAGAGAGAGCTTAGTAGCCCTCTCCATTTCCATTGAAGGGAAAGTGTCAGTTGAGAAGGAGAGATTGAAGATACAAGAAGGAGGGGAGGACCAAGCTGAAGATCAAAGATTGGGGTTAGCAGTGGGATTTGGTGTGTGCAGGTTAGGTGTCCATGCAATTATAATTGAGGGTGGGCTAAAAGATAAGTGTCTCTTTGTGTCAGTAGCCCGTTTCCTTTGAGGTAGGAAACAAGATAGCTGAACATGAAGGCCAAGTGCATTAAGGTCCTAGTGGAACCTGGAAGCCTTGAGCATACAGTGGTCTCATCAGCATGGTTCTGTGATTTGAACCAGCAGTGAGAGGTCTCCAGGAGGCATTTCATTGGTTAGGTCTTGGATTGGGAGGGAAGACTGAGGCCAAGGGGGTAGAAAACAGGCATGGGTGACTGAAATAGCAGTCTTAGTTAGCTGGGAAGGAAGCAAACCAGATGGGCTGATATACAGTCCCCTTTTATCCACATGGGAAAAGTTCCAAGATTCCCAGTGGAGCTTGAAATTGCAGCTAGTACTGAACCCTGTACATACTATGTTTTTTCCTATACATACATATGTTTTACAGCTTCTCTTTGGCATATCTTTGGCACGATTACTCTTGTGTTTTGAGTTCATTGTTAAGTAAAATAAAGGTTACTTGAACACAAGAACTGTGATACCATGACAGTTGATCACATTAACCGAGATGGTTACTTAGTGGTTAACAGACAGGTAGTATACACAGCCTGGATACTCGGACAACGGGTTGATTCACATTCCAGGTAAGTTGGAGTGGGTTGGCATGAGATTTCATCACAGGCTCCTGTTCTGAATGGCCCTGGATGCCGTAACTCCTGTGTGGTACTAGAGCTTCTTATACCCACATCTACTCAGAACAGTGCACAATTTAAAACTTATGAGTTGTTTATTTCAGTATCCCTATAATGTTTCAGATCACGGTTGACTGCAGGAAACTGCAATTTGGGTAAATAAAACTGCAGATAAGGGGCAACTACTGTATTGGTAGGCGATACAGGGACCAAGGGCTTGGTGATTAGGATGGGATCAGAGAACTGTGGCCCCGCACCGCATGGACATCATCCACATATGTCCAGAGCCAGGGTCACCCTAGCTTCTCTATGCCCCCCATAACTCTTCTGACCCTGCCCTGTCTAGTTCGCTCCCAGGACCCTGGACAGCGGCGGGTGTTGGACCGGGCTGCGCGGCAGCGCCGCATCAACAGGCAACTTGAAGCCTTGGAGAATGACAACTTCCAGGATGATCCCCATGCAGGACTTCCCCAGCTTGGCAAGAGACTACCTCAGTTTGATGACGATGCAGACACCGGTGAGGCGGGTGGGGCTGGGGAGACAAGACTGAAGGCAGGGGAAAGAGTCTGCCTAGGTTAGGGCTGTGGAAGGACATCAGGTTGGGGGAAGGATGACCCAGGAGCTTCTCTGGCTCTCCCAGGAACGGACTGGCTCCCGTGACTTTGAGCTAGTTGCTGTCCCCATTCTGTGTCTCAGTTTCCTGTTGTTTATATAGAATAAAGAAGATGGAGCAGATGAGCTCTAAAATCCCTTCCAGCTCTGATATAAAGTCTTAGATTTAGGGAGTGTGGAGATGAAGGAAGGCTGGGATTGGAGACATTGGGGGAAGGGAAGAGGATAGTAGACAGAGACCTGCCTAGAGCCCAGGCGGGCATGTGGGCAGGGAATGGACATGAGGGCATGGAGAATGACGGGGCGGAGAAAGATGGTGTCTTTCTTGGAAGGTGCCAAGTAACTCATTGCTCTTGACCTCTAGGAAAGAAAAAAAAGAAAACTCGAGGTGATCATTTTAAACTCCGTTTCCGAAAAAATTTCCAGGCCTTGCTGGAGGAGCAGGTGAGAAAGGAGCTGGCAGGGAGGAACCCACAGGGAAGGGCTGCGCCCACAGAGACGCTTGTCCCCGGCGAGTGTTTGCTGTGCAGGTGGGCAGAGAAGTTGTGGAGCCCGCCCCCTTGTGTCTGCAGAACCTGAGTGTGGCTGAGGGCCCCAACTACCTGACGGCTTGCGCAGGACCCCCGTCCCGGCCCCAGCGCCCTTTCTGCGCTGTATGCGGCTTCCCCTCCCCGTACACCTGCGTCAGCTGTGGTGCTCGGTACTGCACCGTGCGCTGTCTGGGCACTCACCAGGAGACCAGGTTAGCTGGGAATGTCCCCCAGGTCCACACCCTCTTCCTCCTGTGCCCCACAGCCTCCTGGTCCCTCTCCTCATCCCTGGGTTTCCTCTGCTTTTAGGTGCTTGAAGTGGACAGTGTGACCCTGGGTGACCCTGGAGAGGAAGGCCCTCCATGCAGCATCACTCTGGCCTCAGAGAGGGCATTGAAAGGGAAGGTGCCCCCCTGGACCAAGAGAGGAACCGTTCACTCACCCAGCAAACCTCATGTCTTATTCCCAAGGGAAGACCAGCCTCACTCCCAGGGACGGGGCAGGGAAGTGGGCCAGCCCTCAGGGCACCATCTGATAAAAGTCTCATGTGAGGGGGCGCATGCCTTTTGGTCACAGGGTGTTTTGAGGGGTGAGGATGATTGGTCATCTCTTTCTCCTACTCATTACTCTGTGTCTTTTTCTCCTACCTGTCCATCACACCCACACCGTCTGCCCCTGTAGGTCCCTGACCAGGCAAGATTTTGCCCCATTCTCCTACCGTTCTCATGTCTCTGCATTCCTTGACTGCCTCTTTATATCACTTTTTTGGTTATTGATTTAGTTCATTTGTTTTTTGCTTTTTGTTTCTCTAGTTCCTCTGAGTTTTTTTTGGATATGGTAAAGTCCCAGGAATGGCCAGTCTGATGGAAGAATTGTCCTAAGGAAGCTCTTTTTAGCAGGGACTGTGGTACATGCAGTTATTAGCAGAGAAAACCCCGGAAGTTCCTGGGAGGCATAGAGGAATTCATCGTGTAGAGATTCCTGTTCTGGGTGACCCTGGATGCTATAACTCTTGTGTGGTACTAGAGCTTCTTACACCTCACCTCTTCTGAGTGGGTTGTGAGCTATAAGCACCTCATGTCCTTGGAGTTGCTGTCCTAGTTGCCCACTACTCTCTTGGAACATAGCCAAGCAGGTGCTTAGGAAGTATTTTTTGAACATATGACCTCAATAAGATATTATTGATATCCAGCAAAGTCAGTGTTAGGCACTTTCTTAGGCTCTTCTCCCCATTTTGGGGAACTTTCTTGGGGCTGGCCCAAATGTCCCTGGTGTCTTCCTGAGGAACTGCTTGCTTTTTCTCTGCAGACTTGCAGCTGGGAAATGGCATTGGTGACAGCCTTGTGTTGAATGGTGATGAGAACAGGGTTTACAGACAGTCTCAAGGGCGGTGGTTTTAGAAGATGGTTGTAGGCCCTGGCTGCTGTGGCTCAGTGGATTGAGTGCTAGCCTGCAAGCCAAAAAGGGTCCCTGGTTCAATTCCCAGTCAGGGCATATGCCTGAGTTGTGGGCCACATCCCCAGCAGGGGGTGTGCGAGAGGCAACCACACATTGATGTTTCTCTTCCTCTTTCTCCTTCCTCTCTCTATAAATAAATAAATAAAATCTTAAAAGATGGTTGTACATTTTTTTGACTATTCTTCCATTGAAAGTGAACCTTTGTCCCTTTCTTATAGGATCTGGGTAGGCTTATGACTGCTTCAACCAGTAGAGTGGCAGAAGTGAGACCATGTGCCCTTAAAGCCTAGGTGGTAAAAGGCAGTGCGGCTTCTGCCTTGTCCCTAGGACGCTTGCTTCTGGAGCCCTCAGCTGCCATGTAAGAAATCCATGCTCTGAGGAAGCCCAGGCTACATGGAGAGGCCACGTCCAGATGCTCCTGGTGATAGGTCCAGTTGGCCAAGCCTTTAAGCCATCCCAGCCCAGACTTCTATCCTGGGAGTGAAGATACAGTGACTTCAGTCCTAAGGCACCAAGTCAGCCTCAGCCATTTGAGTTCCTAACTGTGGCCTCGATAGCATGGAGCAGACACATTTAGTTGTTAGAAAAAGAAACATACAGGTTCTGCTTGGTGTAAGATTTGTCTGCTTAGTGACACACTCAGCCTTCCCCAGCTAACCTTGACAGGACAGAGCTGGGCCTGAGGGGCTTCCCTTGCTCTGATGCTGATCACCTCTGTAAGTCAAACACTGACATTCCCTAGGAAGGATCTCCAGACCCCCATTTAAAACCATAGCTCCATCTCTGCTGTGCCCTGTCGAAATCCCTGACCTACAGAATCCATGCCATTGAGTTTTGGGATGGGTTGTTAGGTGACAGTCACTGGGGGATCAGGAACCCAGTTTGCCAGGTGCTAACTCCTGCCTTAGGTTTATTGTGTCCCTCAGGGAGGGAAAGTTCCCTGGGTTCTAACCTTTCTTTTTGCCTCTCTACCAAGAAGTACACTCGAGAAAGAAATGTGAAGAAAAGACTATTTCCTTGCAGAGAAGCACCACCTGCTCTTCACTGATCCACCTGCACTGGAAATCCTGTCAGTTCTACTGAGTCAGCATAATGTCTTTGGTTTATTTCCTAAATTCACTGACTTTATTTCATATTTCATTTTTTTTTTTTGTTACAAAAAGAATCACATGGGTTCTGCTTGGTGTAAGATTTGTCTGTTCAACGACACATTCAGTCTTCCCCAACTGACCTTGAAAAGACCGAGCCAGACCCCAGGGGCCTCCCCTTGCTCTGATGCCGATTGTCTCCACAAGTCATCCATTGATACCCTCTAGGAAGGATCTCCAGACCCCCATTTAAAACAATAGCTCTTCAAGAAAAGCCTTGGACTACTTTTGCCAGCTTCCTGTATACTAGGGGAGACTTCTTCCCCACCTTGGGAGACACCCAGGCCTTTGGGAAATCTGCACTATACCACAAGCTTCTAGGCTAGAGCCAGTGCTATGTGATGGGGCACCAGAAGAAGTTAATGCTACGGTCTGGAAGGCTAGGAACTTGGGAGGCTCAATGCTAAAGACTTCAGTGAGCACTGAATTTAATAGACACAAGCTAGTTTGGAGAGCCGGGAATTCTGGGAAGCAGGCCAATGTGTCTTCAGTCTTGGACAAATCTTGGTCCTACTACTCACTAATTGTGTAGCTTGGATAGATCACTTTTACCTCTTATTCTGTGTAGCCACCTGCCAGACATTGTGAGGATTAAATGAGCCAGTGCACCTGTCCCAGTGTCTGGAGTTATGGAAAGTACTCAGTAAATCATAGCTGTTGACCTCATTGCCCAGGACCTAAAACAGTTCGTTGTGGACCTTTTTCATGGCTAGTTCCCTCAAAAACGGGGATTCCTTGGAGTAGCCCTAACACCTTGCCCATTATATGGTAACTACCTGTTTACATTTTTGCTCTCAGCTTGTGAGTTTTTTTGAAAGCAGCGGTCATGTCTTAGTGCTCTAACTTCTAGAAAAGAAGAACATGTTAAGAGTGGTGTATCAATAGCCCTTTAGAGCCATGTGACTGGTGGACAAATTAATAATCTGGTGATCATATTAAATCACATATTTAACTGCTCAAATATGAGACCTGGCTAAGGCTCGTTTTCCTGAAAAGAGGAGAAGAGGCAGGATGAAGTTTGGGAAAGGAGGTAGAAGTTGTGGGTGGAGCAGAGGGAGAATTTGGGTTGGAGGTGCCTGAGTGGCAGTATAAGGAGTTGTAATTGGCTTCTGTCCTTCATTGTGGGGTACACAGGCATCCTTGTGCTTTCAGAGCCTTTCAGAATTTTAAGACCCTTTTTGGGATACATGTCTTACCGGTTCCATTTGGTGTAAGATTTGTCTGTTACGCCATAGAAACATACTATTGGTTTGCTAACAAAGAAAGTCAGGTGGCTTGGTATTTGCCACAGTAGATTGTTACACTAAGGGTCCCCGCAATGCACACTTCCCAGTGTCTGTGCTCTATGCAGTCCCTTCCGTACAGGCTTTGGACTTAGCCAGGGGAAATGTCTTGGCCGTGGGACATTCACAAACTGTCCAAAACCAGAGTATGAAGGGTGTAGGATATACAGAATTTTGTGGACTTATTGGCGGTGGAAGCTCATGTAAGGGAACAGCTCAAAACACACCAGTGTTTCTGGGTGGAGGCCAGACGGAAGCCCTGATGCAAATGTGTGTCCCAGGCCGGTGGAGCAGTCCCGCTTGCTGGGAGAGCACGGCTGTGCAGAGGAAGAGGAAAACGTGGGGCTAGAAAAATGGGCTAGGGCCGGGCAGTGTGTCAAGGCCTTGTCTTTCTGTTTTTTCTTCCTGAGCCACCGGGGAACTGCCAGGGCAGGACAATAAGTGATGCTCCAGTAGAGAAATACGGATAAGAAGCTCAGTTAGGGAAATCCTGTGATGACTCTGGGCAATGAAAGATGAAGGCCTGACCCAGCATCAGGCAGTGAAAGGAGAGAAGTAGGATGTGAAAACTGGAGGGAGAACTGAGGATTTGGCAGCTGAGGGGAGAGAGTGGTGGAGGGGAAGTGAAGAGAGATGACTGAAGTTGTCAGGCTGCTGACTAAGAGATCGGGGATGATGGTAACAGGAATGACAGGGACTGTGGGTGTGGGGGACGGTAACGAGTTTGCCCATCCTGTGAAAAGACACAGTGGGCGCTTATACATCCGAAGCTCCAAAGAGAGGGCCCAGTTAGAGTGCAGATGTGAGTGTCTTTACATCCCAGGAGCGGATGGGATGAAAGGGAAAGGGGAAGGGGCGGAGGTCAGAACCGAGGCCACCCCCAAGGGACTGGTTACTCTAGTCAGTGCTGCATGGGAAGGTACCAGCATATCACCTCCTTCCACTAGACTCCCGGCTTCTTTCTCGTGGCCTCGTTTTTCAGTCTTAAGTGGGTACCAGGTCTGCTCAGTCCCCTGTGCCCATCCTGTCCATGACCCAGTGCTGTGTCTGAGCTGGACACCATATCATATGCATGCCACTAATAGGCAGGCCTCTGTGAACAGGTCTTCAGCGCCTTTTCTGGAAGTTATTCAACCTTCCCCAGAAAAATCTACCTGTACCAGACTCTTGGGTTGACAGAATTTCAAAGGGCTGGCCAATTTCTGCTACCCACTCTCAGGCCCAAGTAAAGAAACTGCTCTAGGCCACCCGTATCCTTGCACAGCTACGAAGAAAGGTCGAAAGTAAAACAAGTGACTTATCTCAAGCTGGCCAGTTTCCTCGTGCTTGGTCTTCCCAGTGTGATCCTTGATGACCCTTATCAGTAATTATAAGAGTGCCACGCTCTTGAAATCACTGGCAACCCTGCCTCTGTTTTGCTGGATAAGACAGTCCAAAGGTGATGGACCGGGGCAGGTGACAGTCTGGTGTCCAAGAACTGAGATGACTCTGGGTGCCTCCCCAAGTCACCTCGTGCTTAGCCAGCTGCTCCATGACACTCTCAGCCCCTGAACAGTTCACAATACAAATTTATTTATGCATGTATTTATACAGAATGCAAACGCTCGGGGACGCCCCTGCCCGCCTACCCACCCACACCCCAGACTCAGAAGATAAAGAGGGTTCAGGTCCAGCCTCAGGAGTCCTAAGTGAGTCCTCAGGAGATGGGCTCTTGGCGCGAGCAGGGAAGCCTGGCCGGGAAGCAGCTCCGACTGAAGAGGCGGGGCCTGCGCTGGGTGTGGCTTCCAGGCCCTAGGTGGAGCCCCGGGTATGGCTTGTCCCCGAGGTGGTAACACCAAGCAAGGGCCTGTGTCTGCTGCCCTGGGTTCGAGGGACCCCTTTCCGCTGGGGACAGTGGGAAGGGAATAGAGCCTACAGGCCAGGGCTTCTATACGTAAGCGTTTTTCCCGTATTTGCCAAAGCTGTTGTTGCCTTCTCCATCCGAGGCTGCGGAGGGCAGGTGGGTAGCAACGGCAGCGGGCCGCACTGCGGAGGCCTTGTAGGAGAGCCGGGCGCTGGTGAGAGAGGGGCCTGTCAGAAGGAGGTGCAGCCCTCGCTGCTTCCCCTTACCCACGTCCTGCGCCCCTCCCCCTCCCTTACCTGGCTGCGGGGTCCTGGTCCGAGGCCCTGCAGCAGTTGGAGCAGAGACAGACACCGCCCAGGATGGCCAACAGGGAGGCACTCCAGCCCAGGTAGAGTGCAGGGCCCAGCTCATACCTGGGGACAAAACAACGCAGGGCGGTGCTAGCTCAGGGACGTGGCCGAGTTCCACCCACTGCCCCCAAGGGTGAGGCTCCCAAACTCACTTGGTTCCTGGATATAAGGGGTCAAAGAAGTCCCGGGTGATGTTGGAGGCATACCAAGTGATGGCCACCATCCCGCAGCAACCTGGAGTATGGAGAGAACTGCACTGGAGCCCTAGGCCCCTAGGGAACTAGGGGGAGGGCCAGGCAGGAGCAGCCCCGACAGTAGGATGTGGGGCATCAATTCCAGAGCACATTTCATTCCTTCCCTTTCTTTTCCCTTCCCAGTTCATGACTCTTCTGTTTCCTAGGGTCAGCTGTAAACTTCTCTATCTAGCCAGAACCGAGGACCCAACAACCGCAGTCCACCTTTCTCATCTTGTCTCCCATACTCTGCCCCTCAGCCAGCCCTTGTCCCCTCTCTATCCCTGGCCTGCCTTGTTTGTCCCTGGCCTCTAGTGCCTTGATCATTTAGTTTCCTCACTTGAACTGTGCCCCATCCATCCTGGAAAGCCCAGCTGCCCTAAGCAGTCTTCTCCTACCAGCTCTGTCTGTTCTGACATCCCTGTCCTTTGGCCTCTCAAAGCCCTCAGAACCCGTGACACACCTTTCCCACTCAATGAAATGAAGGCCTAAAGCTGGCGAGGTCCCTGGACTATAGGCCTGCCTTGCTACTCACTGTGGGCTTGTCTTCCAGTAAGTCACCTGACCTTTCTGAGCCTTTTTCCACATCTGGAGAGCAGGGTGAGACTCTCCCTACCTCACAGGCTTATGAAGTGACATGTGTAGGTATGTTTTATAAACTGAAAAGGGATGGTCAGTTGTACAGAAATGTTCCCATACGTACTGCATGTGTGCGTGTGTGTGTGTGTGTGTGTGTGTGTACACATACCCTGATTCTGATCTTCCCAGCCAGGCTGAAAGCTCAGGAGGGCAGACCGTCCCTTTCACCTTTGGAATCCCTCCCATGCCTTGCCTATTGCCTGGCTCCTGTGGGGGCTCAAGAAACACTGCTAATGGACCGATTCATAGCCAAGGCATCCGGTGAGTATGGGGGAAGCTGGAGTGAGCAGGGAGAGGAGGAAGAACTTAGCCTGGGAGGGCAGGTGTCAATGCAAAGGGGAAGGTGAGGCAAACATTAGGAGCGGGAGCTGGAGAAGACAGAGAAGCATGGGGTCTGTTGCCTAGGGCCACTCCCAACCCCCCACCACAGCGCAGGGCTCACCCATCACCTTCCCTCAATTACCAGCCAGTATGTGCAGGGCCCCTGCAGTGGCCGCCAGCTTGGCCTTCCTGGAGAGCACGATGCCCCCAATGTTTGTGCAGCGCAGCCCCACCATGCCCAAGAAGAGGCCCAGGAAGCCCAGGAGGATGGCGGTGATCATGAGTGCCCGGCAGGCCTGGATGTATCCTGGGGAGGTGGGTTGCAGCCATGGGTCCCTGAGCCAGACCCTTACCCCTCCATCTCTCCCCTCGATGACAGCCAGGCCCTTACAGCCCCTGCTCAGGCCTCAGTCCTTGGAAGTCCTCAAATCCTTTTCTTCCCCTTTGGGCCCAATCCAGCCTAGAGGCTGAGGGGTCACACACCCTCCTATTCAGGAGCTCACCTCAGTCCCAAGGAGTCTCAGCCCCTCCTTCCCTGTCACCTACACTGGTGCACTTAGCCTGTACCTGTTATAGGGTTTCTCCTCTGCACTCCTGACAGGCTGGATAATGCTTTGTTCTGGGGCACCAACCTGTGCATTGTGGGATGTTTAGCAGCGTTCTTAGGCTCCACCACTAGATGTCAGTAGTCTCCCCAGGCAGGACAATCAAAATGTGTTGACTGTCAAATGACACTTGGGAGCAAAATTGCCTAGTTGAGAACCACTGCTCTGTTAGATCACCACTAAGCTCTGCTGTGTATTACAGAAGCTGCACCTGGGCACCCCCAGCCCTTTCTCCACATCTGCCCCTCTCCAGGTCCTACCTAGTGCCTAGTACTGTGCCAGACATCCAGACCTGAGCTTCCTGCAGTGAACGGTAGGGGGCAGCAGTGGCCTATAGGTCACTGGGTCCAGGGCACTTTCTGATCTGGGAGGTGGGATACCTGGGCCCAGGACCAATCCAAGTCAGTCTTGTTCATACTCTTTCAGTGCCTCAGTTTCCCCCTTTCTCAAAGCTGAAGGAAATGGCTGCCTCCCTTCCTGGCCCCCTTCCCTCTTCTCTGACTTTGATAGCTGCCAAGCACCCAAAGGACCTTGCACCCCTTTCCCAGGCGGGGCAGTGCCATCAATGCTGGAGGGGGAAGGCTGGGTCCCTGCCAAGAGGATGTTTAGTGGCTTGGAGCTGGGGGGTAGGGAGGAGGGACAAAGTTCTCTGGGAGCACTTTCTCACTCCCAGCCATTCCCTCTGGAGTTCCCGCCCTCTTTCCCTACCCCATTTCTTATCTCCACCCATCCATCTCATGGTCTCCACCTGGGAGAGCACGGCCGAATGGCTGGAGGCCGGGGGTGCACAGCTGGAAGGTGGCTAAATGACAGTCAGGACCCCTCTCAGGGCCAGCACTGGCCTTGAAAGTTAGCCCGCTCTGGACTCAGAAACGTGAGGCAAGATTCCAACTCCTCTACCACCTGTGTGATTCAGGGCAGGTTAACGCTTATCCCTGCATTTTTCCGGGTTCTATAAAATGAAATTGCTAATGCACCCAACAGCAGAACTATTGTAAACAGCCTTAAAATGGTGTGTGTGAAGTATCCAGCACCACACCTGGAACCAAGACGCCCCTCAACACTGGGCAGCCACACTCTTCCCTTCCTCCGAGCCTGCTCTTGCCCTTTCATCTTTCCTGCGCACTCATGGTCCTCCCTCAGGCCAAGTGCCACCGTTCCAAGTGGGGGTAAGTGAGGTGGGGATGGCCAGGGTTGCTGAGCTGGCTACCTCCCATGTCCTTTCTGGCCACCCAGTATTCTAGGCTTCTGGCCCAGTTTCTACTCAGCTTTTATAGGGTTTTGGTGGGGCACTTGCCTTGTAAATCCTAGAGAGAGAGATAAAAGCATGAAGCCGCTGCAGCTGCCTCAGGAGATTCTGGGAATAGTGCGGGCACAAGAGACCCACCTGTACACCCTAACTGCTCAGAGCATCTTGGATGTTCCTGGGGGATTTTGTAGAGCCCTGCTTCAAACCCAGTTTGACCTCTGTTCCCTCCCCTACCTCCAGCACCTGCACAAGGGGACCTAGAAGAGCCAGAGGGCTCTGTAAGGACGCAGTGAGGGCGAGAGAGTGGCACCGCAGACGGTTCCTGGTGCCCCCCTCTTGGTCTCTGGAAGGGGCTGAGAGAAGGAAGACTCCCCTAGGGAATAATGGGGGGCTACTCATAGGGTGGGCAGGAAGCAGGAAGACACTACAGCCGCCAGGGAGAATCTTCCTGGGCCAAAAGAGCTGTAGGCTGCAGCTCACCAAGAACTGAAAACAATACACCACCCTGAGAGCCCCTAAAACACATGCACACCCCCTCACCTGTGTACATTAGACACTCAGACTCTATAAAACAGCCTTTTAGAATTCGCCACGGCAGTGGCGTCCCAGTAGAAGCCTGGTGAGGCTACTGAGATAGTCTCAACTTCCAAGAATCCAAGATGGAGCCTCCTCTTCACCCCACAAACTGCAACACTCTCAATCCAACACTAAAATGCTAAAATTGTTTGAGTGCATATAGGTGTTAACATTTTGCACCTTTTATTTCATAAAGTCCCCATGACTACTCTGTGAATGAATTTTACAGATGGGTTAAATAAAGCTCATTTTATCACCTGCCCTAGGCATAGAGCTAGGACACAGCAGGTGCTGGACCCGGCAGTCTGACCCTGGTGCTTGCGCTTGTAACACTGAGAGTGTCACATGAGGGCAGGGGGCCACGTGTGACTAGGTCACCACTGTAGCTGCACACAGGGGTCTACCCCCAGCACTCCACGCTGCAGGGGCCAGTCTCTGGGCTTGATCAGGCCATCAGTCCTCCCTTGTCTGTATGGCACCCAAGTCCAGACCAAAGCACCCACACTTGCCGGAGCTTTCTCCAACCTCCCACCTCCCTCTGCCCCCTTCACCCTCCACCCTGTACCGGAGAGGGCCAGCATGGACGGGAACTCCCAGCAGTTGTAGACTCCCAGGGAGTCGGTTGCGCAGCTGTGCCAGAGGTTCTCGAAGATGGTGTTGGTGGTGATGACATTCCCGTGCACAGTGGACACTCGCCAGTAGCTGTGTGGCAGGGTCACCCCCAGCATCAGCAGCCCTGCGGCTGCCATGAAGAAGCCAAAGGTCTCCACAGCCACTGACATGGTGGGATGCAGGCCCTGAGGGGCACCAGGGGCCCCGGAGGGAGAAGGGCTGAGCCCTGGGGGACCTTGAGGAGCTTTGGCTAAGGTGGGAAGAGAGAGAAGAAGGGCGGAAGACCAGCTGCAGCCCTGGCCTCTTCCTCGGCCTCAGGTCTCTCTCCAGGTTTCTGCCTTCCTTCCCTCTTTCTAGGTTTCTGCTTCCCTGCAGGTCAATCAGGGGAATGAGGCAAGAGCCCGCGGCAGATGTTGATGAGATGTAGGGAATAAACGAAACGGGCCAAAAGTCCACTGCCTCCGGGCTGCCCTGGGTTCCCCGCCCCACAGGGGTGGGGGGGGGGGCACTAACCAGGGAGTGACTAACGGATGCAGCCAAGGAGGGGCCCCCATGGGAGGCATTGGGAGCCAAGGGGAAGCGTGTCTCTGACTCAGCTTTCATCGGGGGCCAGGGAATGGAATAAGAGGGACAAAAAGAGACAGAGGCAGAGAATATCCATGGATATTCCACTGCAGCCTTCAATGGGAATGAAACGAGGGAGCAGAGCCACTACCTCTAGGTGTTGGTAAGAACAAGTCAGGAAACTCCAAGACCTAGGGGTTGGAGCATGGAGTCATCCAGGAAGATTAACGTTAAAGAGGGAAACAGGGTCTGTGGGGGAAACCGATGGCTCTGGAGTCCAACCAACCTAGATTCAAACTGAACCCCATCATTTACCGCAGTGACATAGGCATGAAGTTTGAACCCTGAGTTCATTTCTGCTTCTGTGAACTAAAACTATTACTACATACCTCAGAGGACATATTAAGAATGTGACCAGAGATCAAAGCTCCCCACGTTATGAATTACTCAATACTTGGTGACTATCCTGGGTCTCCGTGCAGCAGACCCATTGTGAATCCACTAGGAGTTGCTTTCTTCCAAACTTCAAGTTTATGAACCTGAACTTTCCCCTTCGGTGTGTCGATCTTTGACCCTCAGCAACAAGCCTGATTTCGAGGTCAAGGGTCCCCCAGAGGGGTAAATCTCAGGCCCAGGTAATCCAGTGGCTAATCTAAGTGGCTCATTGTTATCAGAAGTGTCACCAGGCTCTATTAATTGTAATGGATTAGAGACCTCTGGGTTGCTACTCCTAGCCAAAGCCGTGCTCCTGTCCTGGTATAGACGGTCTTGTTTCCTGCTCCAAAGCCAAAACAGGACAGCCCTGGTTCTCTTCTGGCAAGTGTGGCTGGGGCTGAGTCTCCAAGGGGCTCATCCTGCACCCAGGCAGTCACACAGTACAGCTCTGAGCTGAAGCAGAAACCCCATTCCCCTCCTTCGTGTGTCTGGCTGCTCTGTGCTCCTCTCAGGGGCCTCCTGCCCAATCCCCCAGCTGGGCTGGCTTGGCTGTGGAATGAGAGGTATGCAGTGAAGCAAGACAGGCCCAAGCTGAGCCTGGCACAAGGCGGGTGTGGGGCAGAGCAGGCTGGGTGGGGATCCCATCTTCCATCCTGGAGGCTACAACTGGCATGTACTGGGTTCCTAACCTCTTCCAAGACTCCTGCCAACTCCATGCCAAATGCCTGTTTCCTTCCACCCACCAGTAGCACCCACCAGCGGCACCCCCTCTCCTAAGAAGGCTATGGGAGGAGGAAGGGGAGGAAGCAGGAAGACAAAGGGTGGGGAAGGGCGGAGGTTTTGGAGGAAACTGAGTGGGGGGGCCTCATGGTGTGGAAAACTCCACATACTTAAGAGTCAGCTGAGTGGGTCAGAGGAGACAGGAGACATAAATCCCAGCCTGTCCCTTCAGCTCTGCCTTCCCACCTCTAGTTGCTGCTTTCTCTCAGGATCCTAGGGCTGTGCAAAGGCCATGTGGCTTTGGTGGAAGGCAAGAAGGGTGCAGGATCTGGGCAGCTCTGCAGACAAAAGAGAACCCCATACCAGTGTGGAGGTAACAGAAGAACACAGAGCAGGAAAGGACCATGCGTTACCCCCACCTTCTGGGACCAAGGGAACCTGCCCCTTCTTCAACACAGACACGGAAGTTCCCAAGTCAAAGCCCAATTTTATTTACAGTCATCCTAAAGGAACATGATTTGAGGCGAGAGGACAGGTCTCAGGGGAGAGGAGGACGAGGCCATAGAGGACAGTGACGGGGTGCAGGAGAAGTGACAGCGAGGATGGATAGGCCCCTCCCTGAGTGTCCTCCATGGGCTCCCACGTATCCCTCAGCAGAGGCAGAGATGCAGTCTTGTTCAGGATTTGGACTTGGATACAGCAAATCCGATGAGTCCAGCCAGTCCTGCCACACCCAGGGCCATGCCCCCAACAATGGCCATGCCCACCAGTCCATCTGGAGAGAAGAAAGGAAGATTGTCAGGAGTCGATCTCCAGCCCACCAGGACCCTGGCTACTCTCTTTCTGCCCACAGCTCCTCAACAGATGTGCCTTTCCACTTGGGAGTCCCAGGGTGAGGGACTCCCAAGAGCTGGACAAAAGGGGCTCCTGGGGGTTTGAAAAGGAACTGCTGGCAGTGGGGAGTCACTTACAGAGAGACCAGAGGGCCCAGGCATGGGGTGGGGGTGAGGAAGAGGACTGGATTAATAGTTGAGAGGGACCTGGGGATGATGGGGCCCAGGGAGACAGGGGTGGAGGGAAACAGAGGGGAAGACATTCACCTTTCTTCATGGCCTTGTCGATGAGCCGTTCCAGTTCCTTGGCCTGGTTGTTCTGGGGCTCTGTCTGCAGCAGCCCTCGCACGTACTTCAGGGCCTTTTCATATTCCTACACACATACACACACCCCTCAGTATTTCGGCATTCCTCCTGCCCATCAGAGGGGCCTTCCCTTCACTTGCCCTGGGGGCTCCTCCCTCAACCTCTACCCCCTTCCTCACCCTAGCCCCACCCAATGGAGTAGAGTCCACAACCCCAACTGTGTGGGGATGATAAGCTAGGGGAGATAACAACCCAAGGCTCTGGGGCTGCACCCCAATCCTGACGTCACCTTTACCCCACACCCTAGGCACCCTGATCCTCTTGTCTCTCATCTTCCCTCAGCATCCTGATCTGCTATCACCTTGAACCTCTGTACCCAATACCACCCTCTGCCTACTGCCCTCTTCAGGCTCTATCCTGGAGGACAGCACGGAGAAGCTGCTGTGGCCCATCCAAGTAGGATGGAGTAGGAAAGGAGCTCTCCGCCTTACCTTGAGCCGGTAGTTCCCCACGGCCAGGTAGAAGACATAATCCCGCTGCTCCTCTTTGCTACCTTTGGGCAGTAGCTCTGGGGAGGAGAGAATAAGGGTAAAAACCACTTTTCTCTTTTCCTAATACTTGTGTTCCAGAGATCCCTTCCACTCTCTGAATCCCCACATAATTCTGGGAGAAAGTCATTGTTCAGAGCCTCCAGTTCTGGGCTTCCTAGTCAGAACTCAGGGAAGCATGAATCCAGGTTGCTCAAACACCTTGGTACTAATACTACAGTCAACTATGGTTCATCCAAGTGAACTGAAAGGAAATCAAAGCACTGGAAAAGCCGAGAGGCATCTCTGCTCAGTTTTGACATCTGTTATGTTTCAACTACAGTTGCAAGTTACCCAAATAAGTGTTAAAAATAAGTTTGTATTCCCCATTCCCTTAAAAAAAAAAAATCAGCCTTTCCTGAATAACCCTACCTATTAATTCAGTGACTTCCCAGAGGCTTATGTGTTCAGTTGTACTCTGTGCACTAGAATTTGTTGCTAAGTAGTTTTGTGGATGTTTAATCTTTGCAAGTGTCTGGACTGTCTCCTCAACTAGACTGGCAACTCTTAGAGACCACTTCTCCTACAGCTGTGCCCTGCTATAGAGGAAACCTGATAAATCTGAACTGGCAAATTAGACAAATGTAGAGTGAGATTATTTGCTTACGCAAGATTCTTATTTTTAAAGATTTACAATAGGCATCCTTTACTAGTTCACTGACTTGTTTGCTTATATAAAATTACTTGGCCAAGAGAAAGAGAGTTCAAAGAAATTTAAAGTCAAATATTGTGGCCTCTGACAAATGGTACCATAACCCAAAACAACAGGAAATACGATTCCTATAAAAAAGGCATCATCCGCTCACAGGTTTTCTAGGACTGTCTTCTGCACATCTCCCACGCCACCCTCACAAAAGGTTTGTTGTTTCAACAACAGCTGCTGAATAAGCAACATGATGGGGGTGGGGGGTGGGGACAAAGAACACAGAACTGGGACACACAAAACAGCAGGAGCCTGTAGCCCTAATTCAGCCATTAGTAACTGCGGGACTTCAGACAAGTCACTTTCTTCATGGTTAGACTACCAGATCACCAAAGTCCTGTGGAAACTGACATGGTCTGCCTGTTGGGCAAAACAATGATGAGGTGGTAATCATCCCAAGGTACACTGGGAAAAGCTGGGCTAATGTATACAGTCCTTTGTTACAGTAAATTTACTGTAAAATAACTGAGGTAACTGAACTACAGGGTCCCATGTTGACCCTATAGTACAACAGGGGACCCTATGGAGGGATGGAATGACCAATGGCAGTAGAGAAGGGCCGACCCTGATTGCAGTTGGGAAGGGGAGAGTCGGGTAGCCTAGCACCTCACCCTCCAGCAGTACAATGCCTTTACGGATGTCATCGTTGTACTTGCTTCGCACCAGGCACCAGGCATACTCAAACTGCGTGCTCTTGGACACCGAGCCTGCTGCCTTCTCAGACTGAAATTTCTTTTCAAACTTCTGCCATAGGAGAGGAGAGGAGTCATTTAGAAATGAAGGGGGTAAACCATTCTCTATCAGGACCTAGGTGTCCGTTTCCCAGTTACAATACATATTCCCCAGTCTCTGCCACATTTCCCTCGCGGGTCTTCATACCTCTCTCCACAGGTTCTATCTCCATCTCTGGGACCTGGCCTTCTGATTCTTGAAGGTATGATGTCTCCCTGGACAGTCCCCGCTCCTTCCACTCCCTCCCCCTGTTGGTACCGAGTGGAGATGCCACCTGGTGGCGGCTCCAGGCACCGCTCCCAGAGCATCTGATCCCGAGTGG